TGGGAGTACTGCTAGGTACTGTGGGAGTACTGCTAGGTACTGCTAGGCACTGTGGGAGAGAGCAGAAATATAAGATCAGGCCCCTGATCTCAAGAACTAACATTATGGTTAGGGAGACTCTTCATTATTCTTCATTTATTCTACAGACATTTTGAGCATATGTGCTTAGTACCATTCTAAGTGCCTGGGATTCAGTGTTGAGAAGACAGATATCTTCCTTGCTCCCATGATACTGACATTCTAGAGGGGGAAGACAAAAAAAAATCATATAAACAAATAAATACATGACGAAAATTCAGACAAGTGCTACCAAAATGAAATCAGGTCATAGAGAAACTATTTTATCTGAGATCTTAGTGACAAGACTTGAGAGCAGACTTCCAACCAGAGGAAATAGTAAGTTCAAAGTCACCCAGGTGAGAACACAAGCTTGAGTGTTCAAGACCCAGCCGGAAGCCCAGCGACAGTGGGAAGAAATAGGAGACAAAGTCGGGCAGGCAGGGGCCAGCACATGGAGGCTGTGTCCTTTACTACTCAAAGTGTGGTCCATGGACCAGCAGCATCAGCATCACCTGCGAGTTTGTTTAAAATGACCCCCAATCTCAATTTCCTTTCTTTTACAGCCAAAGGACTATCAACTTTTAGATGGCATATATCTGCCTGCAATAAAGACCACTTCTCCAAACCTCCCTTGCAGATAGTTGTGGCTATGTGACCTAAAGGGAGTGATAGATGTGGCTTCTGGAATGTCCCTAAAGGGCATGTTTTCTTCTTTCCTGCTCTCTGGATACAAATTTAAAGGCTACTTCTCCAGCAGCTATCTTGGACCATGAAATGTCTTTGAGGATGGAAGCTACCCAAGGCCAAACAGCAAGCAGAGAGCCCATGTCCCTGCCCTGAAAAGGCCTTACCAGCCCTGAACTGACTACCTGTCAAACTCCTGAATATAAGAAAGAAACTTCCATTTTCCCTAAGCCACTGGTTTTTTGGAGTTTTCTGTTACTTCCAGCTGAACTCAATCCTAACTAATTCACACTCTTTATCATTATTTCTCTTATAGAACTGTACATTTCCCCCAACCCTTAAGTAAAATCAATAATCCAAGAAGATATACTACATTTATCCTGTAGCTTCAAAAAACTCCCACTAAGCCCTGACCCACCCCTGCTCCTCTACGGTCACACATACAGCAATCGAAGCAGCACAGTCCCAGCTGGACGGTGGCAGGGAGGGTGGACACAGCAGAGGGCAGTGGCAAAGGCAAGGGCACAAGGCCAAAGGTCAGCTTGAGCTCCAGGTCCTCTGCTGCTTCCCTCCTGAGGACACTGAGGGAAGTGGACCCCTCCAGGCTGAGCTGCTAAGCCACAAGTCTTGGTGGCATTGGCCTGCCTACTCTGAAACGTCTAAAATTGTTAAACAGTCAACAGATCTCTTGCTCTGTTGAAGTGACTTCAACCTAGACTGATAAGACACGTCACACCAGGTCTCTATACATAGAAAGAGCCTAATATTTGAAAACTTGGAGGACTGACCAACTGCTGCTCTTCAATGGCAGTTCAGTAGGCAGCTCCATCAACAGCCCCCAGAGCCACCTCTGTTAAAGGCACAATTAAAACTGTGCTTAAAGGCAAATGCCATCTCAAGACATGCCCTCCAGCACTCACATTCAGTCAAAGATAGTTACCCAAGAGCTCCTTCTATATAGAAATCCTGGAGCCTCTGCTGCCGGGGTTCCCTGCTGCCTTTGCAAGACATTGCCTGGCGCCTTGTCTCTTACAGTTTAATGTCTACAGATGCACCAAAACTGGATATCACAGGAGATACAGGATAGATTTTGGCCAGAGCAACTTAAATGGCCCAGAAACATTGGACTTGTATCTCAGTTTGTATCCCATAGTTTCTGCCTTCCCCTCCAGGGAGCTAAAGCTGATCTAGACCTTAGTTCACAGGATCGGTGAGTGAAGGAATTACGAAACGATGAACATTCCACCAACAGCTCTTTTTTCAGTAACCCTGGCTGCCCATTCAGACCATGCCTTTCACAACTTTCCTTTGGGGGTAGACATGGGCTTGGGTCTAAGAGAATCTGCCCCAGTGTGTCCTAGGTGGGCCCTGAATTTGACCAGACTTGTTTGATTGTTTTGAAGGAGGTAAAAGCTGAGCCCACTCCCTCAGAGCTATTCCTGGATTAAACAGTGAGCGATCAATAAGATTCATAGATATGCCCTCAGGAACCACAGAAGGCTGCTTTAGTAGGTGACTTTGGGAAGTGATACCAAGGCTGCCATTGCAGTATAGGAAGATTCCGGGATGAGTATTGGAAGCAAGTGGCCATCTCCTCCATGCAGGTTGAGGAGGAGACTGTTGCAACCTTTCTGCAAAAGGTAGCAGCCTCTTAATCTATTCAGGATGGAAGGCATTTTCCAAATTCTACCCACGGCAACATGATATTCTTTATGGCCCTAGTTTCTATGAAGCAAGAAGCAACTTAGATAAACTACATAAATGAACCAGAAGCAGGAAGAACTGGTGCTTAATATAAACCCACAGAGGCAGCCTAGTCCACATCAAAATGGGGATCCAGTCTCTCCACTGAAGACAAAGGTACCAGGTGAGCACAAGGAGGTTGCACTTTGATGTATGTTTGTTTGAGCCCTGTATCAGAAATTATCTCACATCGGAGACTCTTTATGCAAACTTTCCATCATCCTGAATATAGGATTTCTATTGAACGCTATAAAATAAATCTAATGCACATCAATAAGTAAATCATTTGGTTTCTCTGGAAGGGGGTTTCCTTAGTAGGGCTTATATCGCTAATATAATCATAACCACTCCCTCTAAGGATTAAATTTATCCCTTCAGCAAAGGCACAATGAATTAAAAAACAGAGAGAGAGAGAGACTATATAATGATGTCTTCCAAAATGAAAGACTTGTTGGAAACTCACCTGGGTTATACAGCTCTCACTAACAAGCTAGAACATTGCTTTAATTCTGTACCGTTTATTGTCATGGGATCAAACCGACTGGTGGAGGGTTTCCACCATCTACTTGCAGAACAGAAAATTGTGTTGTGATGTTTAGATAAGACACGCGGGGGCAGCAGTGAGCTGATGAGGAGACATAGCAATGGTGACACTTTTGAACCACAAAATTTGACTCTAGACATTGAGATGCTGCCAAGCTCTATTTAAAATCATTTAAACCAAACTGAAACACTTTTTTTTTAACCTTAAAATTAAATATAAGGGCTTCCCTGGTGGCGCAGTGGCTGAGAGTCCGTCTGCCGATGCAGGGGACACGGGGTCGTGCCCCGGTCCGGGAGGATCCCACATGCCGCAGAACGGCTGGGCCCGTGGGCCATGGCCGCTGAGCCTGAGCGTCCGGAGCCTGTGCTCCGCAACGGGAGAGGCCGCAGCAGTGAGAGGCCTGCGTAGCGAAAAAATAAAAAAATAAATATTAGAAGAATTTACTCTCCTGGCATACGTTTTCTGCTCCCCACGAGTGCTTAATATTTGTCCTTCCCAAATGTTTTTGCTTTTTCAATTGACAATGATCTTTTTCAATCCATTTGGGAGTTTGATAATTTTAAAGCTGAGAAACTTCCTCCTGACCAGTCCAAGTTGAAGCCGGCGGGGTGGTGGTGGTGGTGGAGCAAGATATCCCAACGTCGGGGGCACAGAAAGCAAGCCCTGGGTGGTGCGGAAGGTCACAAGGCCTGCCTGCGTGGAGAGCCCACTGTGGCCTGGCGCTGACGTCGCAGAGCAAGCCGGTGGCAAGGGCTTTTTTTTTTTTTTTTGCTCTGCGGTACGCGGGCCCCTCATTGTTGTGGTCTCTCCCGTTGCGGAGCACAGGCTCCGGACGCGCAGGCTCAGCGGCCATGGCTCACGGGCCCAGCCGCTCTGCGGCATGTGGGATTTTCCCGGACCGAGGCACGAACCCGTGTCCCCTGCATCGGCAGGCGGACTCTCAACCACTGCGCCACCGGGGAAGCCCAAGGGCTCCTTTTAAAGTAGGGGGACGCGGCGGCACTTCCTCTTCTTCTCCAAGGACAGGTTCATTTCATCCCCGTCTATCTGAAACCAGAAGAACAAGGATCAGTACCGGGTTCGCTTTCACACCTGGAAGGAGATTTTGTAAACAAAGGTACCCCAGCCAATCCACCATCACACCCCAAAACGGGGTAGCAGTGAGACAGGCCTATAAGCAAAGCCGGAGATTGCAGGAGTGTTTACTGAGGGCAGGCTGGTCCTCCCGAAGGCGGCGTTGGGGAATGGGGGGGGGAGGGGAGAGGAGAGCCTGGGCTCTTCCCCACGTGGCCCCAGCACAGCCTGGCCAGGAGCCGCCAGGACAGCCCCTCTCGCTGTGCCCGACAGGAGGCCTTTGGCAGGCTGTCAGGCCGGGTTTTATTTTTAGGCTCAGCCGGGGCTGCCCTCCTGCACCCGGGCTTCCCCCTCGCACAGCTGTTGCTTCTGCTTTCCAAAGCCCAAGCCTACAGGTGTTGTGCTTCCCCTTGCCTTTGGCCGTCACAAGTTGGAAGAGTGATGGTAGCTTTAAAGGGGAGGGGGGAAAGAGGTTGCAGGGGGCTGAGATTCCTGCTCCCCAGCCCGGCCTTGCAGCAGTCAGCCCTCCATCCTCCCCTGAGGATCTCCAATCCAGGCATTTCTAAACCAAACCATGGGGACTTCCCTGGTGGTCCCGTGGTAAAGAATCCGCCTTGCAATGCAGGGGATGCCAGTCCGATCCCTGGTCAGGGAACTAAGATCCCACATGCCTGCAGGGCAACTAAGATCGCGGGCCACAATTACTGAGCCCACATGCACTGGAGCCTGCTCACCACAACTGGAGAAGAGAAAACCCGCAAGCCACAACTAGAGAGAAGCCCGTGCCACAATGAAAGATTCCCACATACCGCAACTAAGACCCAACGCAGCCAAAAATAAATAAAATAATAATAATAAAATAAATAATAAATAAACCTTAAAAAGAAATAAACCAAATGATCTCAGGCCCAGGCAAGGCGGCCTCATTTTCTTGAGCATCCTGAGATGCCAGGCCCTTCTCACTACTCTGAGTATGGGGCATTTCACCTGGTTCTCACCTGCTGAGAAGCCAACAGGAAGAGCAGAACCTGGACTCAAACTCCAAAGCCTGCTTCCCCTCTGCTCCCACACCACAGGCCTTCTCAGATAAAAAGGGTTCCTTGTATGTGTTCTATTTTCAACAGTTTCTTTCTTCCACTATTAGAAGCGGGGGGAAAAAAGTGTGTTTATTGCAGTATTTCCATCCAGTATCTCTCTGGGCAAATCTAGACCTATTTTACGATTCTGCTTTTTAGAGCATGGTTGCAGCCCTAGAGACGTGTGACTGCCTGTGTCCCTGTGTGTATTTTAAAATCTGCACGGAAGCAGAGGTTACCTGTGGGGAGTAGGACTGGGGGATGAGGCTGTTTTGCGTTCTTATTTTCTACCCTTCTGTATTGTCTAATCTTTTCCCAAGAAGTGAATTATTTTGTAATGCTCAAAAAGAAAAGAATGAGGACAGCTCTCACTACAGTCAAGGCCATTGCCTTGTTGGCCATGCCCTCAGGCAGGACTCCACCCAGTAGGGTTTTTTCTTCTGTTCTTAAAAATATGCTTAAATTCTTGTTCCTCCTGTTGAAGTCCCCTTTGTTAAGAGTGTTAAACGGCTCTGGTGTCCCTAGACACCCATTTCCTGAGAGCAGGCCGAGGGCTTCCTTCCTCCACCCAGCATTCCGCACACCCCTCCCACCCATACACTACTTTTTCTCTTTCTTTTTCAGAAACTCGATGCTATCAGGCCCAAGAATTGGCCAGGAAAGGTCTCAACACAGACAGGATCACTCAGAGAAACAGTAAGATAAGTCTGTGTGTTGTACAATACTTTGAAAAGCAAATTGTCAGGAGAGAGGAAGAGAGCCAGCTCTTCTTTAACTCTTTGTCCTTTGATTTGTATTTGCTCTTTAATCCATTCAGCCTCCAAACGCTTGCTGAACAGCTGCCCTGTGCCTGGCTCTAGACAGTTCCTGGGTTAGAAGGGAAGGAGCCACAGTCCCTGCAGGGAGGACCACACATTCTCGACCAGAACAAAGGCAAGTGGTGAGTTTCGGTGAGACAAGCAGGCGGGGGGCGCCATAGAGCCCAGGGCCCAGCACCGCCCAGCCCTGGTCGTGAAACTTTCCAGGACCTGGAAATGCCCGAGCTGAGTGTTAAAGGACCAGCTGGAGAAGCAGAGAACAGGAGGAAGGATATTCCCCGTGAAGGAAAAGTGAAATAATAACAAGGTCCCTCTGCTATTGAGCTTTTAGGTACACCGTGGCCCTGCTCTGAACCTTTCACATGTATATCACTTAGGTCTCACAACCTGCGGGGCAAGTACTCCTGTGGCTCCATTTTAAAGCTGAGGTCCCTGAGACACAGAAGGGTGGAGGGATTTTTCAAAAGCCATGCAGTGAAGGGCATTGGAGCCAGGATTTGAACTGAGGCTCCAGAGCCCTCGCTTCTAAACCTTGGTAACCTTGGGTAACTCAAGAAGTGAGGCGGACGTCCCGCCCCTGCCTAAGTTCCACAACTCCCCACCACAGCCTAAACTCCGCCCCCCCCCCCCTTACCAACCCTTTTTTTTTCTTTTCTTTTTTTCCTTTTTATGTTTTATTTTTTTTTAATATCTTTATTGGGGTATAATTGCTTTACAATGGTGTGTTAGTTTCTGCTTTATAACAAAGTGAATCAGTTATACATATATATATGTTCCCATATCTCTTCCCTCTTGCGTCTCCCTCCCTCCCACCCTCCCTATCCCACCCCTCTAGGTGGTCACAAAACATCTAGCTGATCTCCCTGTGCTATGCGGCTGCTTCCCACTAGCTATCTATTTTACGTTTGGTAGTGTGTATATGTCCATGCCTCTCTCTCGCTTTGTCACAGCTTACCCTTCCCCCTCCCCATATCCTCAAGTCCATTCTCTAGTAGGTCTGTGTCTTTATTCCCGTCTTACCCCTAGGTTCTTCATGACATTTTTTTTTCTTAAATTCCATATATATGTGTTAGCATACGGAATTTGTCTTTCTCTTTCTGACTTACTTCACTCTGTATGACAGACTCTAGGTCTATCCACCTCATTACAAATAGCTCAATTTCATTTATTTTTATGGCTGAGTAATATTCCATTGTATATATGTGCCACATCTTCTTTATCCATTCATCCGATGATGGACACTTAGGTTGTTTCCATCTCCGGGCTATTGTAAATAGAGCTGCAATGACCATTTTGCTACATGACTCTTTTTGAATTATGGTTTTCTCAGGGTATATGCCCAGTAGTGGGATTGCTGGGTCATATGGTAGTTCTATTTGTAGTTTTTTAAGGAACCTCCATACCGTTCTCCATAGTGGCTGTACCAATTCACATTCCCACCAGCAGTGCAAGAGTGTTCCCTTTTCTCCACACCCTCTCCAGCATTTATTGTTTCTAGATTTTTTAATGTTGGCCATTCTGACTGGTGTGAGATGATATCTCATTGTAGTTTTGATTTGCATTTCTCTAATGATTAATGATGTTGAGCATTCTTTCATGTGTTTGTTGGCAGTCTGTATATCTTCTTTGGAGAAATCTCTATTTAGCTCTTCTGGATTGGCTTGTTTGTTTTTCTGTTATTGAGCTGCATGAGCTGCTTATAAATTTTGGAGATTAATCCTTTGTCAGTTGCTTCATTTGCAAATATTTTCTCCCATTCTGAGGGTTGTCTTTTGGTCTTGTTTATGGTTTCCTTTGCTGTGCAAAAGCTTTGAAGTTTCATTAGGTCCCATTTGTTTATTTTTGTTTTTATTTCCATTTCTCTAGGAGGTGGGTCAAAAAGGATCTTGCTGTGATTTATGTCATAGAGTGTTCTGCATATGTTTTCCTCTAAGAGTTTGATAGTTTCTGGCCTTACATTTAGGTCTTTAATCCATTTTGAGCTTATTTTTGTGTATGGTGTTAGGGAGTGATATAATCTCATACTTATAAATGTACCTGTCCAGTTTTCCCAGCACCACTTATTGAAGAGGCTGTCCTTTCTCCACTGTACATTCCTGCCTCCTTTATCAAAGATA